TATAGACTAGACTATAGACTAGACTATAGACTAGACTATAGACTAGACTATAGACTAGACTATAGACTAGACTATAGACTAGACTATAGACTAGACTATAGACTAGACTATAGACTAGACTATAGACAAGACTATAGACTAGACTATAGACTAGACTATAGACTAGACTATAGACTAGACTATAGACTAGACTATAGACTAGACTATAGACTAGGACTATAGACTAGACTATAGACTAGACTATAGACTAGACTATAGACTAGACTAAAGACTAGACTAAAGACTAGACTATAGACTAGACTATAGACTAGACTATAGACTAGACTATAGACTAGACTATAGACTAGACTATAGACTAGACTATAGACTAGACTATAGACTAGACTATAGACTAGACTATAGACTAGACTATAGACTAGACTATAGACTAGACTATAGACTAGACTATAGACTAGACTATAGACTAGACTATAGACTAGACTATAGACTAGACTATAGACTACACTATAGACTACACTATAGTCTAGACTATAGACTAGACTATAGACTAGACTATAGACTAGACTAGACTATAGACTAGACTAGACTAGACTAGACTAGACTAGACTAGACTGACTAGACTAGACTAGACTAGACTAGACTAGACTAGACTAGACTAGACTAGACTAGACTAGACTAGACTAGACTAGACTAGACTATAGACTAGACTAGACTAGACTATAGACTAGACTAGACTAGACTAGACTATAGACTAGACTAGACTATAGACTAGACTAGACTATAGACTAGACTAGACTATAGACTAGACTAGACTAGACTAGATAGACTAGACTAGACTAGACTAGACTAGACTAGACTAGACTAGACTAGACTAGACTAGACTAGACTAGACTAGACTAGACTAGACTAGACTAGACTATAGACTAGACTATAGACTAGACTATAGACTAGACTATAGACTAGACTATAGACTAGACTAGACTATAGACTAGACTATAGACTAGACTATAGACTAGACTATAGACTAGACTAAACTATAGACTAGACTATAGACTAGACTAGACTATAGACTAGACTAGACTATAGACTAGACTAAACTATAGACTAGACTATAGACTAGACTATAGACTAGACTATAGACTAGACTATAGACTAGACTAGTCTATAGACTAGACTATAGACTAGACTATAGACTAGACTATAGACTAGACTAGACTATAGACTAGACTATAGACTAGACTATAGACTAGACTATAGACTAGACTATAGACTAGACTATAGACTAGACTAAACTATAGACTAGACTATAGACTAGACTAGACTATAGACTAGACTAGACTATAGACTAGACTAAACTATAGACTAGACTATAGACTAGACTATAGACTAGACTATAGACTAGACTATAGACTAGACTAAAGACTAGACTATAGACTAGACTATAGACTAGACTATAGACTAGACTATAGACTAGACTATAGACTAGACTATAGACTAGACTATATAGACTAGACTATAGACTAGGACTATAGACTAGACTATAGACTAGACTATAGACTAGACTATAGACTAGACTATAGACTAGACTATAGACTAGACTATAGACTACACTATAGACTACACTATAGTCTAGACTATAGACTAGACTATAGACTAGACTATAGACTAGACTAGACTAGACTAGACTAGACTAGACTAGACTAGACTAGACTAGACTAGACTAGACTAGACTATGACTAGACTAGACTAGACTAGACTAGACTAGACTAGACTAGACTAGACTAGACTAGACTAGACTAGACTAGACTACTAGACTAGACTAGACTAGACTAGACTAGACTAGACTAGACTAGACTAGACTAGACTAGACTAGACTACTAGACTAGACTAGACTATAGACTAGACTAGACTAGACTAGACTAGACTAGACTAGAACTAGACTAGACTAGACTAGACTAGACTAGACTAGACTAGACTAGACTAGACTAGACTAGACTAGACTAGACTAGACTAGACTAGACTAGACTAGACTAGACTAGACTAGACTAGACTAGACTATAGACTAGACTATAGACTAGACTATAGACTAGACTATAGACTAGACTATAGACTAGACTAGACTATAGACTAGACTAGACTAGACTATAGACTAGACTATAGACTAGACTATAGACTAGACTAAACTATAGACTAGACTATAGACTAGACTAGACTATAGACTAGACTAGACTATAGACTAGACTAAACTATAGACTAGACTATAGACTAGACTATAGACTAGACTATAGACTAGACTATAGACTAGACTAGTCTATAGACTAGACTATAGACTAGACTATAGACTAGACTATAGACTAGACTATAGACTAGACTATAGACTAGACTATAGACTAGACTATAGACTAGACTATAGACTAGACTATAGACTAGACTATAGACTAGACTATAGACTAGACTATAGACTAGACTATGGACTAGACTATAGACTAGACTATGGACTAGACTATGAACTAGACTATAGACCTACACTATAGACTTACACTATAGACTAGACTATACTAGACTATAGACTACACTATAGACTACACTATAGACTAGACTATAGACTAGACCATAGACTAGACTATAGACTAGACTATAGACTAGACTATAGACTACACTATAGACTAGACTATAGACTAGACTATAGACTAGACTATAGACTAGACTATAGACTAGACTATAGACTAGACTATAGACTAGACTATAGACTAGACTTAGACTAGACTATAGACTAGACTATAGACTAGACTATAGACTAGACTATAGACTACACTATAGACTACACTATAGTCTAGATTATAGACTAGACTATAGACAAGACTATAGACTAGACTAGACTATAGACTAGACTAGACTATGACTAGACTAGACTATAGACTAGACTAGACTATAGACTAGACTAGACTATAGACTAGACTATAGACTAGACTATAGACTAGACTATAGACTAGACTATAGACTAGACTATAGACTAGACTATAGACTAGACTATAGACTAGGACTATAGACTAGACTAGACTAGACTAGACTATAGACTAGACTATAGACTAGACTACAGACTAGACTATATACTAGACTATAGACTAGACTATAGACTAGACTATAGACTAGACTATAGACTAGACTATAGACTAGACTATAGACTAGACTATAGACTAGACTATAGACTAGACTATAGACTAGACTATAGACTAGACTATAGACTAGACTATAGACTAGACTATAGACTAGACTATAGACTAGACTATAGACTAGACTATAGACTAGACTATAGACTAGACTATAGACTAGACTGTAGACTAGACTATAGACTAGACTATAGACTAGACTATAGACTAGACTATAGTCTATAGACTAGACTATAGACTAGACTATAGACTAGACTATAGACTAGACTAAAGACTAGACTAAAGACTAGTCTATAGACTAGTAATCTAGTTTATAATCTATTCTGTTGTCTAGTTTATAGACTAGTTTATATTCCAGTCTTTAGTATAGTCTAGTCTACAGAATGGCCTATACTAACTAGAATACAGAATAGACTATAAACTAGATTACAGACTGGTCTATTGACTATAGACTCCAAATTTCTTTCCTCCTAAATAACATTAAAACCAAAATTAGCTTTAGGAAAACTTTTTTATTTGCTCAATATAATGACAAGATATAATCAATCGTATAAAAGAAGTCATCAAATAACATCTTTAAAAAATAAATTTACAGAACGTAAACTTAAGGAACTAATAAATGTGAAACACATTAACTTTTTTTCCAACCGACATCAAACAGAACTTATGGAAATAATCGAATCGTTTATAAAATTCTCCAAATTATCGTCACTAATATCATTAATGCAAATAATACTGTCATCATCAAAGGTCACCATAGTGCTGACATTATCATCCGATAAATAACCACTGGAATTAAAAGAGCTGTAAGAAAAATGAAAAGAAATAATTTATTAGAAAATATTTTATTTAAAAAAATTATAAAATGAATACTAACGTTTCATTGGCAAAAACAATATTATTGCGTGGTTGCTCCATTATTCTTTTCTTTATTTGTTTATTGTTTCGATATTTTTGTTTTTTTTAATTTCACTTTAGAAATGTGTCTTTCTGCTGGAATGTTTGAAATGTTTCTGACAGCTTTTCTGCTTTGTGCCTTGATTATTTATAGTGTTCAAAAATATTTTAATTTGTTCAATTATCTAGTTCAGGTAGCGAACATTTAACAGGTAAAGTGTAATTTATTTGTTTGTAGGGAATGGAAATTCTTAATGATTTTATGATCGTACGAATTAAACTTGTGATTTTAGGGAATTTTGAATTCTTGAGGATTAAGTGTAAAAATAAAGCCGTATGTTTGTATTTGCTAAGCGATTAAGGTTTACGATTTGTATGAGTTAAAACATTTGCTATAAATCCCTACCAATGCTTTATCCTTGTTTTTGTTGTATGAAAGATTCTGAAGCAATACCAAACAAGGTTAAAGAAATCATATGGTCAAAGTTCCAAAGCTTCTTACTATTCGGTTTGAGCAACAGGTCAAATTATGGACATAGTGTGTATAATGGAAGATAATACTAACTAGTTCTCTTACCTCGGTCTTGACAATTTCAAACGGAAACGGAATTGGTGACAAAGCCGAACCAATGTTGATCCCATAAACTCCAACGGTTTAGAAACTCTTTCTTAATGATACATTATTTCGGGAGCTATGGTACCGAAATTTCTTACGATCCTTATGATCCGGTTTTATTCTTATGATCCGGTTTTATATAGAAAAAATAATTCGATCTGAATGATAAAATTTTGTTACTGAATTAATAAAATCAATTTTTGTTGAATTCGTATGCTGCCGATAATATTTTTCCCGCTTTAAAACATTGCTTTGCCAACTTATAACAAAAACTTCCATAGATTTCAGCTTTTGTATATAATATGCATAACTGTCAAAACAACTTCAAGGTAAACAACAATAAACACGATATTTTTTTTTTGTACATTACTTTTGGAAACATGTAAATATTGTTTCTATTTTTAATAAAAAGTGCAATAATTAAATAAATTCTCCACACAAAACTAAAAATGAATGAAGAATTTTGTAAAGTAACACGCAAAAAATGGATAGCACATCGTGGTTTGCAGCGTAGAACAAGACGAATATCAGATAAAAGTTATGACAAAGATTGTCCCGATGTGGATGTGGACAAATTTGTAAAGTATGTTTTTTTAGTTATAATTCTAAAGAAAAGTAACACTTTTAGTTTTTCAATTTAAGGAAATTAGAAGCCACCTGCCAACAAATGCAAGACAGTGATTACTTTGCGCAGTCATTAGCTACTTTAAAGGAAAGTTTATGTAAACTACAAACTGATAACAAACCAGAAACCCTCAAACGCTTAGTGTGTTTTGGCATTGGACCTTTTACCCGCAACTTTCAAGCTCTACATCAGCTAGCCTTTATACTGTCCCTACAAAAGGAATATCAAATAACAGAAGCTTTTTATTTTGATCCCATATTTCGTCAAAGTGAAAAGGAAGTTTTAGAAAAATTCAATTGTTTAGTGATGAGTGAAAATTGTGAAGCCAAATATGAGGCCGACATACAGACCCTATTCTATATGCCACACTGCCCCAATTGTTTGACCAACAACCTGCTGTGGAAAAATTGGCAGGGCAAATATTTGAAGAATATTATTTTAATCAATAATAGTTTTGAGAGCTTAGCATGCAGCAAACCCGAAAGATTATTACGTTTAGATTCTTCTTATATTTTAGATATAATGCCTTACGCCCAAGAACTACCTTTAGAGGATGATTATGAGGTACATAATGTATTTAATGATCTATCGATACATATTTTTCCCGAGAGCGATTTACCGGAAAAAACAGCGGAATTTTGGGTGGAAAAGGAGGCTCCTACGTACAATGATGTAGAAATGATATCTGCTGCAGATTTTGCCAAATTAAGTTTAGAATAAGTTTTAAGAGTTTTTGTTACATAAATAAAAATAGTAGACAAAAGGGAATTTGTGTTTTACTGGAAAGATAAGCAAAGGCTTAAGATTTTTTTTGAACTAAAGGTAAGAAAAATTAAAGAAATTTTTAAAATTATTATCCTTTTTATTAAAATTTGTATTAAAACCTATTCAGATGCATATTTTTAATTACATATCTAACATTTTATGATCTAATTCCATTTCCTGTCTCAATTCTTTCATTTCATCCTTTTTGGCTTTTATTTCTGCAAACATGCGCTGTCTTCTTCTAGCTCTCTTCATTTGGGTTTTGTTCTTTATAGGTTTCTTTGGTTCTTTGGCTGGTTGTTTTACTATGGTTTTCTGCTTTGGCACATAACCTTTCCCGCTACTAATGTTTTTCTTAGGCTGTGTACGAGGACAAAATGCTGCCGGTAATATCCTATGTTGCAAATGCATTAAACTGCAAAGATTTTCATCTATTAACAAAAAACTCTGATCCGTCATAAATTGCAAATCCGTCACATCCGTCTGCAATAGTTGGTATAGTTTTATAGTGTTTTGTGTAATTTCTTGGGAAGGTTTACACAACATTAGTTTGTCCTTAAATTTGGGATTGTAACGCAACATATAATGACCCAAGGGCATGTTGTACAACATTTTTAGAAATTCATAGAGATTGTTTAGCAATTGTTGGCAACTTATGTGATAAACTGATAAATATTCTTCCAATTTTCTGATGCTTAAGGATTCTTCCAGTAAAGTTTGATAATTTGTCGTGTCCAAACGTAGGCAATTAGTTCCTGACTTTTGCAATAGCTTAAGTTTAAACCATTCCTTAAGTAAATCATATTTTGTGAATATTTCACAACCAAATTTTGGTTTAAATTCTAGTTTTATAGAAAAATCTTTATTTTCCGCAAAAGATTCCAGAGAAGTGAAAATTTTGAAAGGTGCAATATCTTCTAAAGTACCCAATTGCCATTTGATTAAAGTTTTTGAAAATTTACAAAGTTTATTGGCTATCGGTGGGGATTTTTGCATAAAATCTTCTATGGTTGAAACTCTATATTCAGTTGAGTTGTCCCTACCCTCCATAGTTGGCAAGTTGTCCTCTTCTTGGGTATCTAATTGTTTAACGGACAACATGCCTTTAATAGCTTGTTCCACTACTTGTTGATATGTATGCCAACCAGCCTGCCGGGAGGGTAGGGGTTGCTCCATTATTATATACCTTTTTGTAACTCCTTCACCATTTTCACTTTCTCTAATATTTAACAACATTTCCGTTGGTATATCTACATAATCCCCCGCTGCCACCATAAATAACAAAGATTCCAAAGGCATATAAAATACAGCATTTTCTTCTATTTCATCTTCGAGCAACTTTTCAAATTGAGTTTTTAATTTATCCTCCAAAGTTTCTTTTAAATCTTCAGAATTTATATAAATTTCCGCATATGAGCCAATAGAATATGTAAACTTTTTTATTTCCTGTTTTGTATCGTCCTGCCATCGACATTCTGCTCCAAGTTTAGTAACAATTTCTGGTTGTATTATTTCTACTTGTTGATCACTTAAAACATTTTTACACTGTCTCACTTGAGGTAAGCCCAAGTGGGTATTATAGGACTCAGGAGGATATCTCTTCATTAGTTTAAATACTTTTTGTTTATACCACTTTTGATATAATTCTAGAAGTTTACGACAAGGGGCATACATTTGCTCTTTGTTACCTTGACTTAATTCAAAAACATACCTTTGAAAATATTCCTTTTCATTAACTCGGATTTTTTGCAATCTATACCAATTAAACATATCCTCCTCTTCCACTTCCAAACACTGTTGCAGGGCATTTAATACTTTTACTCCTAATTCATGTTGTTTTTCTGTCATCATTGATCTTTTAGGCGAATGGAACTTTTGTGTAGCTTCTTCTTGCGTATGATCATAACAAAGCTGGTTTATAGGTTTCTGTGTGCGAGGATCTATTACCGTTTCACTGTTAATATTAAGAGTTTGTGCCTTTTGTTCAGGTTTCAGGAAATGTGAATCTATTTCATGCAGTGCTTGAAATAAACAGTCTTGTTCATCGTCAAATGGCTTATCGAAATATGAATGATTAGGTTGATCGCGGAAAATCGCATTACCTTTGTAAGAAAGATAATCGAAATTCGACATTTTTAATTAAATTAACAAAAAAAACTATTTTAACAATTTAAAATTAAGTAAACAAGACTAAATTTTCCTCTAAATTAAAATGTAAACAAAAAAAATTATCTGACCATATGTACTAACAGTATTGCCAGCTTTAAATTATATAATTTATTCGCTAGTTTTTCGCTTTACCAACTTTTTAGACCAACTGTTTTTAAATGTCAAAATCATATGCTTGTGCGTGTGTGTGTTAGAAAAATAAAAACTAAAATTTTTGTGGGAATTGTAGATTTTTGTAATTTTTTTCTTATTTTTGTAAAAAATTAATAGTATTTTACTAAAAATTTCATAAAAATGACTGACGGTTTGTTTGATTTAATTGTTTAAATAGAAGTTTTATTCAATTGTTTGTGTTTTTCAGAGGAAATTATCAAAAAACGTTTGCTGATTGATGGTGATGGCACCGGCGATGATCGGCGTCTTAATATGCTGCTTAAACAATTTCTCAAATGGATGTATTCCAAAAACGACTCGCCGGAAAATAAGTAAGTTTGTTTTTTTAATTTCTAGTACATTGATGCAATTGCGGTAAAGATTCTGCTAAAACTAAATTAATAGCATTGGAATTAATATTGATACAACTTCATGCATGTATGCTCTATCATCTTCCTTTTGAGATAACTTAAAAGAAGTAATTAAAGTGTAAGTTAAAACTAAAGTAGATTTAAAGAAAAGCTAATTAATAGGAATAGTCATATTATCGCCATTAGAGGATGTCATGAGGTGATTCGGGATACTAAAGCTCTTAAATTAAACTACTGTTCATTGAATAAAAACAGGTCAAAAGAGTGAAGTCTAAAACATCTGAGGTGTAGGACTCCCATTCCAGTTTGAATGATACTATATTCCAGAGTTATTTTTGCTATAATTTAATGGTATATTTGGTTAATTTTGGCAAGCAATAAATGGAAGTCTAAAAAGTCGTCTATGGGATATGTTTTTACTAATATTGATTATACAATCCCAGTGTCAAAGCACCCACATAAGTCCGTTTTCATAAGTCTTACCATCCTATATAAATATACATGGTATTAAGTAGTTTTCGGAGACTTTTAACTACTAGGTCCGCAATGTGGTAAAAAGTATAAATAATAGAACTAAGAAAAATTAAAAGAAAAAAGAAAAGCAAGAAGATTCCTTAATTTAGTTTGAAAGATTATCTATTAATGGAAGATTTATGATAAGTTTTAATTTACATAGATAATCCAAAGTTAAACCCCTTTGATCCCGCAAGTTTTCTGCAAGTTTTAGTGCAAAAAAATCGAAATTAAGCAGGACTATAAAAAGATATGTAAATATTTTCAAGAAAAAGTGAAATTACTGTAAACTTAGCAAAAAGAACAAGTACCAACGCAAAGCTTGCTCCTTCTCTGATCACTGCTATATAGAATTTGAAATAGTGGTTCAGGCAAAGATTATAAAACCATTTCTCAATAGGAGAAAGACGAACTGGGAGGTACATAAAGCGACCTTGACTGATATTCTTCCTACTGCTCCGACGATAGAAAGTAGAAGTGACATTGATTTAGCCGTTAACTGGATCTCAAGCTCTATTAGTGTAGCCACAAAAAGGGCTTGTAGATTATCAAATGGTATGCTTAAGGGCAAACCCCCTTGGTGGGATCCCGAAATTGCGAAAACTCGAAGGTTATGTCGTAAATTATTTAACGAGGCAAAGAGATCTGGTAACTGGTCTCTTTATAAGTCAAAAGTTAATGAATTTAAAAATCAGGTACGAAGTGCGAAACGTAGCTCCTGGAGAAAATTCTGTAGTTCTATAGAAAATTCGTCAGATACGAGTCGTCTTCGTAAGATCCTGTCTAAATCTCCTTCCGTCCCAAGCTATATACAAAAAGCGGACGGAAATTGGACTGCAGGTAGTCAAGAGACACTTGAGCTTCTCTTGAATACTCACTTTCCTGGTTGTATCCCAACTGGTGAATCAATTGCAGATAATCAGCATGGTATTGAACTAGATAATACTGCTGAAGATGTTATGATAGATGATGACATCATTCGCTGGGCAATAAGGAGTTTTGACACCTATAAATCTCCGGGCCCTGATGGCATTATTCCAGCGGATCTACAAAATAATTTAGACCGTATCATTCCCTGGCTAAGTAATATTTACAAGGCCTGTTTATACTGGTCCTACATACCTGTACAGTGGACCAGGTGTAACGTGATCTTTATCCCAAAAGGGGGAAAGACATCTCACACCAAGGTAAAAGACTTCAGACCCATCAGTCTGGCGTCATTCTTGCTTAAAACTCTGGAGAGGATAATTGATATCAATGTCAGGATATCTATTGACAAATCTCTACTCTCAAACTCTCAACATGCATACACGAAAGGTAAATCTGTTGAGACGGCTTTACATTCCCTGGTTGGGTACATTGAAAAGTACATGAGCTATGGTAACTTCACTCTGGTTGCCTTTCTCGATATTGAGGGCGCTTTTAATAACGTCAGATCCTCACCTATCTGTCAATCCCTCTCACAGATGGGTGTGGAACGATCCATTGTGAGTTTTGTAAAGAACTTGCTATCTGAACGGACTATTGTATCTTCACTGGGTGATACAACAATCTGTAAAAAAGCCATCCGGGGCACTCCTCAAGGAGGGGTGTTGTCCCCTATTCTTTGGAACATGGCAATAAATGAACTATTGGTCAAACTTGACTCACTAGGTTTTAAGACGGTTGCCTACGCTGACGATGTTGCAGTAGCGGTAACTGGTACGCATCTTGAGACTCTGTCTCAGAGATTGGAAGAAGCGCTGAAGATAATAAGCTCATGGAGTGTTAAATGCGGTCTCAGCGTAAACCCAGGGAAAACGGAACTAGTATTGTTCACAAATAAATACAAAATTCCTCAATTCTCCCTTCCACGCCTCAACGGTGAGGTTCTCACACTGTCGGATAGCGCAAAATACTTAGGTGTTATTCTCGACAGAAAATTGTCTTGGAGCTTGAATATCATCTCCAGATCTTCCAAAGCCATTACGGCGTTATACGTTTGTAGAAAGGCTATTGGCCTGCATTGGGGTATCAACCCAGGAAATGTGAATTGGCTATATGAGGCGGTGATTAAACCGATAATGATGTATGGTGTAATTGTCTGGTGGCATGCACTTGACAGAATATCTAACAGAAACATTCTTACCAAAGTTATGAGACAATCTGCTCTTCTCATAACAGGTGTACTTAGGACTACGCCCAGTAAAGCGTTGTTTGCCATGCTGAACTGGCTGCCTGTGGATCTTCTTGCTAAACAACTGGCAATGAATACTGCAGCCAGACTAAGTATTACGAATAGATGGAACTACGGTTCCAGTGGTCATGCAAAGATTGTAGATCTTGTACCAAACCTACATCAAGCTATTGACTACCATATTCCGGAACCGTGCATATCGAGGAACTTCCGGTATAGTTTAATCTGCGATTATAATGAATTAGCACCTGAAAGTGTTGGAAGCTTTAATGTATATACAGATGGCTCAAAAACAACTAAAGGTGTCGGCGGGGGCATATTCATTGAAGAATTCGGGACGAAAATCTCTTTCCGACTCAACGACGAATGTACTATTTTGCAGGCTGAAATCTCAGCTATAAAAAGGGCTTCTAATTGGCTTAGATACTATCGGATATCCAACAGAGATATCAGAATTTATACTGACAGTCAAGCCGCTATCAAATCCCTGATAGGTGTGTATTCTACATCAAAACTTGTCCAAGAATGCCGGGCGTCTCTAAACGAGATGGCGAGATATTCAAGAATTACCCTTATTTGGGTCAAAGGACACGGGGAAACAATTGGCAATAATACTGCTGACATTCTGGCAAAAGCCGGCACGAGGATGACCATACTGGATATTGACCAGTTCTGTGGTGTCCCCTTAGCGGTCATCAAGAAGCAAATACTTGATTACTGCTTCATTTCAGCCCAGGAGCGATGGTCTCAGGAGCACACTTGCTCGATCGCTAGGCTACTGTGGCCTCGTATGGATTCTCATAAAACATCCTACATTTTAGGGCTAAACAGAATATATCTGAGCGCTTTGTTATCAGTTCTTACAGGTCATTCAAAGTTTGGAAACCACGCTAGACGTATTGGTATTCCATATAATGACTTTTGTAGGAGCTGTCAAAATGAAGAAGAAGAGGAAACTATTACTCATTTTCTGTGTAACTGCCCGGCCCTGGAATCGCTCCGTCATCAGGCGCTGGGTTCGTCTCACTTTTCTGATCTATCTGATCTGTCAGCTATTCAACCTGAGTGTATACTAGCATTCTTGAAATTGTCGAAGTGGGTGTGTAACTAAATACACACTATGATTTTTCTGGTAACAGAGTCTTAACTTCTTCGCTATTCTATACTCATCATTCTACTTTCTATATCTGTTTCTTCACTACTTTCTTTATCACTACTCTTCCCCTTCCAAATGTTTTCCCTTAACTTTTCTCTTTACAGACGTTACAAAGGGACCAAATAGGACCCAAGTATAGACTTACTCGTGTTAGTAAGCAGTCTGAAAAACCTAACCTAACGTAACGCAAAGCTTAAATCACAACATTAAAATCATCCTTTAAATAAACAAATTTTATATCAATTCTCTTCATTTTCTCATAAAACTTCATTACAACGTATGCTTTCCATTTTCTCGGCGATTACCACTTTTCTTCAGTCAAATTATCTACGATCGTTTAATGGCCCAATTGGCGCAGTGTCAATTTGCAGCCGCTAAAACCGAACGCACAAGTCAAATGATTGATGAAGAATTGGAAAACTATCAAAAACTCTCCAAAACTATAGAAAAAAACATTGAAGTGGCCAAACTTGAATTGGAGGAAAGTAAAAAAGAATTAATTATTGCCAAACAAATACGTAAAAATAAAATGGAATACGATCAATTGGCGAAAGTGATAAAACAACAACCAGATCGTAAAGAAACCCAAAAACATATAGAATGTTTGCAAAAGGAATTGGCCGAATTAAATGAGAAAAAACTTAAATTGGAGCGTAAATTCGAGAAGCGTCAAAAGGATTTCTCGGTTCTAATGTATGCAGTGCGTGAATTGGAAGCTCAACTAGTGGAGGATAGTTCAAGTGAAGATGAGGACAGCAAGTCGGATGAGGATGTGGTTGTGGGTTCTGGCAGCAGTAATATTACGACAGCAAATCATCCCATAATCGAAGGTTTAAGTGATGATGAAATGGAGGCTGGCTCTCAGTCTGATAAAGTTGTGCGTCACAGTAGAGGTCTAATGGAAAGAGGGGTGAAAGAAGAAATCGATGATGCCGAAGTGGATGATAACAAGAGCCTCAAGGAGCCCATGGAGGAAGATGCTGTTCTTGAGTTAAGCATAGATAAAGATGAAAGTGATGTTAAAATGGAAGAAGTAGCAGGTAATGCTACTTGAAAAAAACTAATTTCATTCATATTTATTTTATAAGTTTTTCATAAATAAAATCTGTAAACAAACGATAAACTGAAATACCCGCCTTTTTTTCTTTTTTCAAAAACTAACTAGTAAAATAACAACCCTGAACATTGTTTCAATTCCATACGGTTTCTTTGACAGTCAGCTGTATTTTTGTTTTTGTGTAACAGACAGCTGTTGAGAAAAAAAGTAGAATTCACCAAAAACAAGTAAGAAAATATTAAAAATTTTATTTTTCATAAATTAATCAATTTCTTTATAACTCCAGCATGTCAGCCACCAAAACTTTACGTGCTCTACTTCAAGAGCTACGTAGCGCCTCTCCTAATGGCTGCATTAAGAATTCCTTGGCAGCTCGTTATATTTTAGCTCAATACAAGAAATTCTCTACAACCGATCAACAATTATGCAAAGCACGCGATGAGGCCCTATTTTTGGGACAAACTTATCAAACCTATTTGTCTAGTTTGCGTAAATACAATGAATTATTCAAGGAATATCATGGTCGTGGTGAAAGGACTGTGAGGGAAACAGCCGATATGGTGGGTTTCAAGCTTCCAACCGATCCCAAGTAAAAGGTGCTTAGTTGCAATGTGTACTTTATTTAAAGGAGAGTGTTTAATTAGCTGTAGTAGTAAATATGTTAGATAAATAAAAATGTTGCTAAACTGAAAATTAAAAGATAGTTTTTTGATGGAAGAACGCTTGGTTGGTAAATCATTGTTTTCGTTGGGAATCTTTGTTCCTCGGCATCCGCTGAATGCACATCGATTAGGTTTGAAATCCAAAAAGGATTTAATATGATTAAATTTTTTTATATTCTTGGAACAATCATTAGTTGTACCAAATTTCGAATGTTAAAATGCTAAATTCTACTTCCTGATAGTTTTCTTCACTATTAGGTTCTGCCAAATTACAATTTTCAACCCTAGATTCGCCTTCAGCAATCAATTGAGAAACAGATTTTCATTATAACTATTTTCAATAACCGACTGAGGCACAGCACCGGTTGCAACATCAATAAACAAGTTCTATCGGTCCACAGACATCCATATGAATACGTTCCAATATTCGTGTTGCTTTATTTCGAGTACCATTACGAGAATTCAATGCAAACATGACTGTCAGCAAACATTACTTGACATAAGATTGTATCTTAGATCTGGTGCATATAGGACGTTCTCGTTCATACTCAGAATCCATTTTACAATGTTTCTTTCCACATGCTTTAGCTGATACTGATAGATGGTCTTTGGCAAAATTGATTTCAATAGGAACATCCAGTTCCTTCAGTTCGGAAATATACCAACTTTCATTTGCCAAATGGTCGTTAGCACCAGAATCAAATATGAATCTTACTTTTGATCCTCCAACATTTCGATTTGCACTATTACCAAAATCTTTTATCGGCAGCACGAGCTTCTCGAGTCTTGCAATCTTTGGCTTGATGATCAAACTTATTGCATTTGTAACACTTAACATTAAACTTATTCTTAAAAGGCTTTTTACTTGCAAATTAAATCAGCATCCTCTAAATTTGCTCCAGTCATATTAAGTTGTCTTATTATATTTTCAAATTATAATTTATAGAATTTCCATGCTTCACGTGAAGTGTGTATAGTTAGTTGTCTTCTCAATAGCAATCGGTTTATTACAGATTTTTGAGCAAAAGTCGATTCCAATTTGTCCACATATCCGGTTACCTTGCCACGAACATAACTTAAACAATCAGCATGAACGTAGCTTTCAAAACGATCTTTAGCCTTCTTATTACCATGTAGGCCTACATACACACTAGGGTGATCGATTATTCGACATTTTCCAAAAACCGGTTTTCGAATAGTTCGAATAGTTGACATTTAAAAAAAACCGGTTGATATTTTTCAAATTCAGAAAAAACCGGTTAACCGGTTTTTCATTATAAATAAAAAAAACATAATTTAATTTGAAAAACTTAATGTTTATGTTTAAATTTGATTAATAAAACATGGCCCGAAATGATTTTTAACAGTTTAAAAGATTATAACTTTAGATCTAGTCGTCTGATTTACATTATTTCTTTAATATAAAAAAATTAGGAAAAAAGTGGGACACTTCTGTTAAACATAAGGTAATCATAGCTTATTTTAAAAGCCCTGTTTAGGAAATTTGCATAGGCATTCCAACACTTCCATAAAATTTCAGCCGTAAATTAATTATTGTAATTGGAATATAATCTTAAGATTGATAAAATTTTATCAAATAGTTATCAATTTTACAAATAAATTTTTTTTTAATTATCCCAGCAAAAAATCTGAAATTTTTGGTAATAGCCAGTAGTTATTTCATATATTACTTGGTAATGAGTGTTCATTATCATCCACATTATTTCATTTAGCTGAATAGGTTATTACTGGTAAAGAACAAAACAATTTGGATTTGTTATGGCTCAATTGTCTAGGTCGTTCATTTAACAAATAGGGGGTTCGTGGTTCGAGCCCTGCTGGATACTGTTTATTTTTTTTTCAAAATGACATTCATTTATATATTTTTGTAAAAAGCCGTTCTCAAAATTACAAAAAGCAACATGTTAATGGAGCATCGAGTAAGCGGCTGGAGTGAGAAACATAGAAAACAACTGAATGCCTGGGTTCAAATCCCGGCATTTTTTTAATTTTTGTTTTCTACATACAAAGTCGGCCCAAAATAACTAGCTATAACATAACATATTTGTAGGTTTATTTGTAACTAGTTATTTCGCAAAGTTTTTGTAATCAAATTAGTAACCATTTATTAATTTGTTTAAGGTAGGTACATATTATTTGAACCTCGTCGAACAAAAATAATTAGTTATTCACCCCAAAAGTAATTAGTTTCCACGTGATTCCAATATTACTTTCTAGATTACTAGGTAATGAAAATTTTTGCTGGGTAATTAGGAAAATCAAAAAAGTTTAACTAAAGGAGCTTTAGAAAAATATACGCTAGCTCCTCGACTCGAATATTTTTAAAATTTAGGCGGGCTGTATTATTATTTACTTAAAAATTTCATTTAAATAATCTTTGAATACAAAGCAAATAAAAGTATTCGAAACCGGTTTTTAAAAAGTGAAAAAACCGGGTTATTCGATATTCGAAAAATCAACATTAAGAAAAAACCGACACTGGTAAAGCAGAAAAAACCGGTTTTAAAACCGGTTGAAAAATCGAGTCGATCACCCTAATACACACATAGCTACAATATTTTTATTATAACAAATTATTAATTCTTAGTTTAATCAATAATAAGTAGCCACATTTTTATGATTGACTTTATTATTTTGCAAGAAATGTTCTTTAATTGAAACCATTGAATAAATTATAGAAATTGATGAAAAAGTTCAACTAAAGCACCCTGAACTTTTTTTCATATTTCTTTAAATTCATTTAAGACTCTCTTACACTATCAAACGAAACAAAGTACATGAAAACATTCTGTAATATTTGTATAGGAATGAAAGAGTAGCAGCAGTTTGTACCTTTATCTTTATGAGATGTAAAAAGTGAATATGGTTTGTAAGTACAAACAGTCAGCTTGCCAGCTACATATAAAGCACCACAACCAACCAACCAAGCTACCAGGCAGACAAAAACAATAAACATGTAGTTTGTTTGATAGTAAAAGATATGTTGCAATTACTCCTCAACGACACATTATACTCTAATATGTAATGTGCGAGTATATAAAACTTACTCATATCGAGATCACAAAAAAGAAAACTTTCCATTATAGAATTACAAATAAAATAGTTAAAGTCAATTTTCATTCGTTTAGACGTTGTTATATGACCATTTATTTTCACTTGCTTATTATATTTAATTATTGTAAAATGGTGAATGGTACCAGCAGACGTTGCGTTTGCAATTTGATGAAACATTTTATTCGTTTACTGATGTCACATCTCATAGTTAGTATTTTCTAGATATATTTTTTCCCATTTAAGTTGTCTTTGCGGAATCATAATTATTGCACTTCATTCATAATGTTAATTTCATTTGAAGAAAGTGATAATTTTTTTTATTGGTTCTTTGAAAATGAATTAAATTGTAAAGGCATTTCAAAATCAAACAATTACTGCACCCTTTTAATTTTATAACACAGTCGTCGTCAGTTTAATTGACTTTTGCCCATAGAGGTAGTAAAATTCTTCAATAACTTTTATATTGAAAGAAGCTACATGTTGTGGCCTTTTACAAGTTAAAACAGAACTACCTCAATAATAATCGTATTATTTTATTGATTACAATACTCATGTAGTTTTGTATGTGAAACTTTATGTACAGTGAAATCAAAAAGTATTAAGTTTATTCTATAATTGTGTTTTTTAACTGGAATAATCATCTTTTTACGAATTTTGGGGACATTTTACTAGATTCTTATTCAGGCGATGACGGCGTAAACATTGTGGACGATGTGAATTTTGGTATACAATCCTTGTGACCCGTGTCGTCACCTCAGAAACTACTCTTGATCATTAAACCATTAGCAGAAGAGGTTGGAGACTTTTGTCGCCCTATGCTGCCAAACAACAACGACGAAACTCAACGATTTCGTCGATATCTTTATCATCGTCTTCATATACCACAACACCACCCTCCCATCGCAATCACAATAACAGTAGCAAACACCACCACAACAGCTATCGCTGCTGACACCTTCGATGGCACTTCGGAGATCATATTGCAGTTTAACTGCAATGGTCCCCAAAGTAAATTACCCTAAATAACCAGATTAATGCAGCAGAAAAACATCGCAGGCGGTCCAGGACACACAACTGACGTGTATTGGAGTCTGCACAGTTGTAACGGAAACAACGTTCTTCGAATTTATCATACATAGCACAGTGATGTATAGAGCTCTTCCCCTCGATCTCAACGCTAGAGGCCAATACCTTAAAGTTTATGACAGCTCTATAATGTTACATACCGCCAGTTGTCCAATTGAATACCGTCCCGATATCAGAACCCTACTAGATGGGGCTTTACCGCTCACCATCACCTCTGGCACTCAAGCCAAAGGGAAGACTACTCTAATCACGCAATAAATAGACGAATAGCCTATCACGCATTAAGAATAACTACGCCAGCTCCTCATGCATAATAATTGCAAGCCCTGGTCTGATTAACTACGCAACCAGGAAAGTTTTTCTCTAGTATCAGACTAACTAACCATAATCGTTTGTAGGGACCGACACAACGACTTCATCACTCTGAACGCCGAAATCATATCTCCCAAAAGAAAGCAGACGGGAACGGCCTTAGAGAAATCACTGATGGCATCTTCAATTATTTCCCAGCTGCCACAACATTCAACAAACGGAGAGCAAATTCCCTGTAGCTATCATCGCATCAACAGTTTGCTTTATTCCTGCTGGACGACAATCTATAGTGCGGTCGCACTTCCCAGCAGAAGCAACGAGTTCAACAAATGAGTTCGATGACATCCGCAGTACCAAACTCAACGACACACCTTTTGTCCCTGAAACTTTCATCGCAGCAGCAGTTTGCTTTATCTGCAAATGAATTCGACTTACCTTTTGTCCAGCTGAGCAACGATATCAGCAGGTTGGTACCAAGGCGAAACTAATAAAGTGAAGTCATTTCAACAGCTGATTGTTTTTTTGTCCATGGAAATTTAGCCCGACGCTGTCAAACTCCATATA